TTGGATCCGCTGCCTCAGAGAGGTCGCAAAGGCGCAATCCGGTTTAGAGCCCCCACCGCCGCTGTATTCCAGGCAGCGACTAAGGACTCCAAAGGGTTGTGCACGATAGTGTCAGGTATTTCTCCAAGCGCCGTCTGAAATCCCATAGGGTCCATCAGGTGCCTGGGGCGGAACCACCTAATCGGTTCCCCCTCCCTACAGTGGGGGATTGGTTTCCAAAAGTCAAGCCTCAGTAGGAAGTGATCTGACCATGACAAGGGCAAGATCTTGATGCCCTTCAAATCTAGATCACGTCTCCACTGCTCTGAGAGAAATACAAGGTCGAGCGTGTGCCCCACTGAATGAGTCGGACCCTGAATTACTTGGGTCAAATCCATGACTGTCATGGAAGCCATGAACTCCTGCGCTCCATCAGAGCGTTCACCAAGCGATGGCAGGTTGAAATCCCCCAGCAGTACAAGCCTGGGGAACTCAAATAGACATGCTATTAATTTCCTGTATTAACTCTCCATTTGTGTTTTATAAGAATTCCTACATGATCTGTGAGGGTCTCAGAAACATTTTTGATGCTAGAGGCTAACCTTGGCTTTGCAGTATGTGATTTTCCCATTTATATATCTTAATTGAGCAAAAGTGATAAGCCATTCAAAAGAAACTTAATTAAACATTGTCATTACCAATGGGCTATCCCAGGGAGAAGCATGTTTACTCATAGGTAAATTCCACTAAACATAAGTCTGGATTGGTGCCTTAAGCTTTTAATGTCTAGAATGAAGAGAGTCCTACCAAAATCAGATATTTTTCAACCCTTGAAATATAATTTTATCTATGCACATTTACAGTGCATGCTGGTTTAAGCATGATAGTAAAATTAACATTAGCTTGACATCAATGATTTATGTTTGGTAATTAGGGAGATTTGCCTCATAACTCTTCAGAATCAGAAATAAATCAACTACTACAGAAAGAAAGAGCTTTTACAAGATACTCATATACTGTAAGTTGCAAAGCTTAATAAATGCAGTAATATGGAGCTGAATAGATATTATTACCTCAGAAGTGGAGTCTGTGACAATAATGTTTGGCAGATCTTACATTTTATGTGCCACATTGGTGAGGACAGAAAAGAACAGAATATTGATGGGCAGTAGGGAATAAAATAACAGAGAGGAGATTCTTGGGTAAGGAATTTGACTACTAGTAAGTGGAAGTGCTTAATGTAGCTGACTGCAGTTTTGATACTACAGAATTGTTGATACTACAAAATTGTGTAAAAAGATACAGCAATTTTCAGAGCACGATAGTATACATATTAACTATTTTAATTAATAAGAGTTTTCAATGTATCTCAGATTTTACATTTTTTTGTTAGTCGCTGCTTAGTTTTCTAAAGTAATGTGTCTACTATATAGCATTTATTTTTCCTTTTATTAAGTTTCATCCCAAATGCTAACTTTGTAAGAATGTATCTTCACTGCACTCTGAAATATGTTTGAAGAAAACGTTAGAAATAATAATTAACCATAAATGTCTACTAGTGCAGTGGTCCCCAACCTGTGATCCCCAACCTATTCACAACTGAGTGGTGTGAGTGGCCAGCTGATGGGTGTGTTCAGCCCCACTCACACAAGTGGCATGGATACTCAGGGCTCCACTTGTGCAAGCAGTGTGGGCACTTCAAGCCTTACTTATGCAAGCATTTCTCACAAATGTTGCAGAAGTTCAGGGCCTTACTCATGTCAACATTGTGGGCACTCGTAGCCCTACTCACATGAGCAATAGGTGCTTCCATGCACATGCATGCAAACATGCCTGTCTCTCCCACAAAACTATCCCCTCTTTCTCCCTTCCTCCCCCTTTGGGCTGCCAACCCAAAAAGGTTGGGGAATTCTGTACTGGTGTACT